CTGTGAGGGCCGGGGGGGTGGAAGGGACGTGTTGTCCCTGCACCAGAGCTTGGGTTTGCTGCTGTGGCTCTCGAGGTGTCCTTGGCCTCTGGCACGCGCCCAGCCACGGCAGGGGCTGAGCCGGGGGTGCTCTCGGGTCTGCGGTGCATGGTCCGGTTAGTGACACAGCCCCAGCGTCACCTTGGCCTGCTACACAGGGCCTGGCGCGAGGAGCAGCTCGCTCTGGGGCAGGGAGAAGGATGCCCCACGTCCACCCCATCCCCTGCCTCCTGCTGCCGGGCAGGGCTATTTCACAGGGGGCCAGGGGACACAGGGAGGCCCCAGCACCAGCCTGGTGTCACTCAGTGCCAGCACCATCACCTTCCACCTTTGGTGGGACTGAGTGCCCTGGGACCACCCAGTCCTGGCCACCTGCACTGGGATCCGCTTCCCAATGTGGAAAGAAGCCCCGGTGCTGTGGTTGACGCCATGACCTGCCATCCCTCCCTGCTACAGGCCCCGCCGAGCTGCAGGAGAAGACACTGGTGCTGGTGAAGCCCGATGCCGTGCAGCGGCGCCTGGTTGGGGACGTCATCAAGCGCTTTGAGAGGCGCGGGTTCAAGCTGGTGGCCATGAAGCTGCTCCAGGTACCTCCTCCCCATGGAGTGGCCATGTCCACCGAGCTCCCCATGGAGGTGTCCCACAGAGCCCCAGGGCCGCCTCTTGCTGCATGCCTGGCTTGGGGTCTCCTCCTACCCCAAAGCCTGGGCGAAGGGGCAGGCGCTGGCAGGATGAGGGTGCCCTGACAGGCCCCCACCCGTCCCTTGCCTCCAGGCCAACCAGGGCATCCTGGACAAGCACTACCAGGGCCATGTCCACCGAGCTCCCCATGGAGGTGTCCCACAGAGCCCCAGGGCCGCCTCTTGCTGCATGCCTGGCTTGGGGTCTCCTCCTACCCCAAAGCCTGGGCGAAGGGGCAGGCGCTGGCAGGATGAGGGTGCCCTGACAGGCCCCCACCCGTCCCTTGCCTCCAGGCCAACCAGGGCATCCTGGACAAGCACTACCAGCAGCTGCGCCAGAAGCCCTTCTATCCCGCGCTGCTCGCCTACATGACATCGGGGCCGCTCGTGGCCATGGTTAGCCCGGGGGACT